AAATGATTAATAATTATTTTTATTATTATTATTATATAGACTATTTTGTAACTTTATATCTGTTTGTGTTGTAAATAATCCATGTAACTGTTGTGTATGTATGTTGCTTTATCCTAATTGTATAACACGTGTATGTTTTAAATTGTGAAAATGTAAATTTCAAACATTTATTTGTGTTTTATTACTAATCCGTATTAATAACAATACTAATGGTAAGATAAATATTTTAAAAAGTCTTACTTCACACCGTGTAACCATTAGAAAATGTTAAGAAGCTTCGTTTGAAACTAATATAAGAGAATAACTACCCAAAGTCTTTTTCAACAAGAAAATAATCATTTTTAATCTTCAAATATTGCTAATAATAAACCAAAATATTGATTACTGCCAATAAATAATTATTATTCAGTATTATATAGTTGTAAAGACGAGGTCATAAATAGTACTATTCAGTATTATGAAATCATTAAAAAGTCTCCTCCCTTAGAAAGTACAATTTAAAGGTAAAACGAATTAGTTTAATATTTCCAAATATTTTAAAACACTAATTGCACCTGTCTTAATATTACTAATATCTCATTAGCTGTAAATTCAAATTACTACTAGGTAAACAGATAATATATTTTTAAATTTATTGAAACTAAAAACTCATGTGTTTTAACTTTTGGTCAAATTTGAATTACAAGACGTGAGTTTTCTGTAAATAATGAAAATTTTTACCTTTATTTCACACTCTTCAACAAAATAATTTGTTTTCAATTATATTAGGGATTAAAGTTTGTTCCATTACTATTTGAAAGCACATCATATCTTCGGGTTATAGTTCAAAAGCTCTCCGCAAATGCTCGTCGATGGCGCCAACAGTTTTCCTAATCGCAGTTGTATGTTCGGTTTTCCACAGTTTTCAGTTAGTAGTAGAAAGTTGTATCGCGTTGTTCGCATCGCGTTACGGAAAAACTAGCCCGTTTCAGTGGAAATTACACGATTTTGCGTTTAAATTATTTCAAAAAATATGTTTGTGGTTTAAATAGCACTAAAAGGACAACATTTACACTGTTTGTCGAATAATTTCATTCGGTAAGTTCCATATTAATTAAAGCTCATTTACGTTTTATGTATTTTATTTGCAACATATTATAGGAAAATTAAAAATTGAAGACATGGGTATCAAACTTTAAAGTTTTCATTTATTGTAGCTTTCCAATTTTATACTAACGTAAATTATGTTATTATATTATTAATTAAATGTCTATTGCTGTACTAACTTGCGATTTTCAGGAAATGTATTTAAATTTGATCTCTTGCTGTAGTAAATGTAATTTTAAAATTATACTCTTACATTCGTGTTCAAAAAATTGAAGCATTTGCTGAAATTAGCACTTGACTATTGCAGGTATGGAGGAGTCTCATAGGAACAATTATGATGAGAGAAAAAACAAAACCGACACGAATGCTGTTAGAAAAAAGGTGAGTCATTCTGAAAATTATTTTCATTTTACAATTGTTCCTTGGCACTAAATATAGTAAGAACGTTTCTGATCTATACTTATTACATTTAGCGGTCATTTGAAGAATTGAAACATTTTCCCTATATTTAAATTTTGCGCTCAAGTTACATTTGAAGTTTAACTTCTTAGCAATTAAAATTAATTGTTTAATCATCGTCTGTAATTGAGAATATAGTTTGTCATTAAACCAGAGTATTTTTGCTATTCTTTATCCTCTGAATACTCCCTCACTTAATTACATGAATATTTGAACGGTCTATTAAATTTTATGTATTTCAAGATGCACTCATTAAGTCAATTAAATATTCTTTATTTCAAGACGCACTCGCTAGCTAGTGACAGCATCTTATTCTACGCATATTTTTACATATGTTTTACCTTTTATCACTTTCAAAATAATTGTTTAACTGGTCGAAATTTCACGAGCGACTTTTTCTGTTTAGTTGTTTTGCGTATTTTTCACATAAGTCAATTAAATTTTCTTTATTTCAAGACGCACTCGCTAGCTAGTGACAGCATCTTATTCTACGCATATTTTTACATATGTTTCACCTTTTATAACTTTCAAAATAATTGTTTAACAGGTCGAAATTTCACGAGCGACTTTTTCTGTTTAGTTGTTTTGCGTATTTTTCACATTAAGTCAATTAAATTTTCTTTATTTCAAGACGCACTCGCTAGCTAGTGACAGCATCTTATTCTACGCATATTTTTACATATGTTTCACCTTTT